ACAAAACCATTGGGCAAAGCCTCTGGTTCACTTTGATGCTTATTTCCATCATCAGAGCAGCTTTCAAGTTTGTCCTCCTGATTCAGGTTTACCTCTCTTTCTCTGATTGGCAGAAGATCTGTTGTGGGCTGGGTTGGGTAATCCTGGGCTTCCGGAGGAATGGAGTTAACGACCATATCTGTGACGGTGCAAGCTTGGTTTTCTTGAAGACAAGAGCTTGACAGCACAGCACCAGCACTTTCAGGTACCTCTTTCCCAACACCCTCTTGGTTGAAAGGCGGCGAGCAGGGAAGAGAGCAGTCCTTCCCATGCGGTTTCTGGGGACCATCCATCTCCGAGGCAGAGCCCACCAGACCATCAGCGTGCAGCAGAGCGCAGGGTCTTGCCGTCCCTTCTCTTTCAGGTGGCCCGTAGTTACCCAAAACACCGTCGGGGAGGTGATGGTGACTGTCTTCGACCGCCTCCATCGGCACGGCCCCGCAGCGATGCAGCGAGGGAGGAAAGGTGGGTGCTCTCTTCCATGTCCCTTGCTCTCCCGGGCCCACGGTGGGGTGATGGACATGATGGCTGTTGGCCTCAGGAGGACACCTCTTCGTGACGAACGAACTCGATGCGTTTAGCAGGGACGCGCCGTATTTCTTCTCATCCGAGAGCTGAGTGCCAAAGCTGGGGACCTCTCCTCCCTCGGCCCCACCGCTTTGCAAGCATTTGGGGTGAGAAAAATTGGTCGGCAAGGGCAGGCTGGCCGGAGATTCGCCTGTGTAGTGACAGCCATTGAGGGACTTCTTCTTGCCATTTCCTTCTCTGGGAACCTTTGCACTGATTGCGCCAGCTTTCGTCTCCGGCACCAAGCGGTGATCCTGGTGGAGATCCTCCTTGGAGGCACTGGGGGGGCTGGTGGGACTCGTGGAAGCGCTGCGCTGGGGCTGTGCTCCCTGCCCCACCTGATTCCTTTCCAGCCTCTCTGCTGCTGCACTGCCCAGCGTTTCTTTCTCGAGCAAACTACGGCTTAAATGGGATTGCTCATGTTTTTTAAATGCCAAGGTCGCTTTGTTTTTATCTTGCTCCGGCTCTTCCATGAGCTGATCAGCTTTCTTTGCTTGCCCTGGCAGTGGGGTCACCGCTGTGTTTTTGAGTGTCGAGAGGTCATTACGTTCTCGGGGAACACCATCTGCACAGATATTAATGTCATTCAGCTCCGCATGTTCATTTGCTAAGTGCTGCAGCTCCGTTACATTATTTTGCAGCTCTGGCTTCGCAAATGTTGATTGTTTTGCACGGTAAGAGCCCATTGCACTGAATGACTCCAGCTGCTCGCATGCACCGGAGAAAAGCACAGCCTCTTTCGCTGGGGCAGCAGTATTTTCTGCGTTGCCTCCAATGGGGACGTTGCCCTCCCCTTGGGCAGGGCTGTATGTCCGATTTTCCCCTTCCAAGGCACCACCACTCTCCTCTTTCTGCTCCGGCTGGACGCGGGCGGTGGCAGAGGGGTGGCTGGGAGCAAGCAGCATGGGGAAGCACGGCATCAACAGCTCCTCTTCGTTGCTCTTCACCGTTCGGGCAACGAAGAGCTGGAGCTGCTGCAGAGGGTTGGCACTCGTCTCCTGGGATGCCAACATCTTCTGGGAGCTGCAGTCGCTCTCCTTGGGCAGACTCAGCATATCGAACAGCAGCACTTTTTGCTTGCTGGCTTTGTCACCGGGTCCGGGGGCTGGATAGGTGGTGGGGCTCTTCCTCTCCTCCGTTTCTTCCACCAACGCAGACCCACCACCAACCCCTTTGAAGTCCATGGTGCTTTTCACCATTTTGGGTGACTCAGGCTTGCTTAAGGGTCTTTCTTCTGTATCTGGGACCTCTTTGACATGAGGCGAAAAGGCGAGATCCAAGGCTGGGGTAGGACCTTGCTGAAAGCCAAATTCAGGTTTACGGTTTGGAAGATGTGCATCAAACTTCTCCCGCTCTGCAGCATCAGCAAAGCTTTCATCTGCTTTCTGCGGCACGGGGAAGCTCTCGGCACCACGCTGGCATGGCAGGGATGGCAGGGGATCTTTGGTCGCTTCAGCTGCCTCCAGGGTCTTGGGGAACACGGAGTCGGTGACAACAGGAGGGCTTTTTGTCACAGGGTCTGTGTAGACCGGAGCCTCTGTTTGGTCTGGCGTGCGTGAGCCAGGTAGACTTTTGGAGGAAGACCCATTTTCCATCTTTCCAGGGTCACTTTCCTTGGCAGCCTCCCCGCCCCGGAGCTGCTCCCCGCTGTCTTTGGAGCAGCTCCCCGGAGCTGCTCGCCGCCGTCTTTGGAGCAGAAACGGTCCGTGGCGAGCTGGGCTGGTGTGCACATCCCTGCCTCCAGCGAGCCCAGCTCCACCGGGCAGGGCCAGGGCTCCCTGGGTCTCCTGTAGTCCCCACGGGTGCTCGCGACGGCCGGCTTCTCGCCCTCCAGCCTCTCCCCGACGCAGAGGCTTGAACTGCCCAGCTCGTCTGCCAAAAACAGTCCTTTCTCCTGGCCCATCTCTTGCTCGACCGGCAGCGGTGGGAACTGCTCAGCCGCCTGTCCTCGCAGATGGGCAGCGACGTGTTGCTCGGGTTTCTGAAGGGCGACGGATGCCTCGCTATCCAGCTTGCTGGTTTGCAGTTGACTTTCCAACTCTGTGACTAATCGCTTGATCTCCAACTCATCGTCTGAGATGTTGTTCATAAAAGTCACGTTATAATCTGTTATCCTGTCCGGCAGCGGCAGGGAGAGTTGGCTGGTGGGGACAGGTCCTTCCTCGGGGAATTTCTTGGCTAGTGGCTTCTCCACTGAAAGGCTGTGGAACTGAGTCATGTCTTCTGGCAGCATCGGAGCCACCTCCTCCATGAGGGACCAGTCTTTCTCCGGCATGAACGGCGGATACGGTTGCTCAAATGGCAGCGGCTTGCTGGGGGGATTGCCGGGGCAGGCAAATGTTGTCACGTAATTGTCCTTGTTCGCAGAAACGCTCTCGTACAACGGCGGATCAAACTCGGTGACGGGAAGCTCTCCAAATATCGATGAGGAATCGAAGCTGAGAGGGGAGGAGACCTTGCCCTGCGGCGTTTCTGCAGCGTATGGGGAGATGCTGGCATGCTTCTGCTCGAAGGAGCTGGCGTTGATGTCATCCCGGCATAAGTACATGTCATCCATATGCGAGGAGCCCAAGGCTGGGGGCTTTGAGAAGAGGTTGTCATCATAGTGACCGGGAAGGCCTTTGGGATCGAAAAACGCGTTGTTGCTGCTGACGTATGGATCGGGCGCCTTGGCAGTGAGCATCATCCCCACTGCATCCCCCCCATACGGGGCAACCGGCGCGGGATAGTCCTTCCGACCGTCACAGAGCCCGTGTGCCTTCAAGTATTTGATGCCCATTTCCGAGTAGGCGGCACTCACATTGCCAGGACTCGCTTCGCTACCGCTGTGGGACGGAGCGATTAGCTCTTCTGCATGGTACTTCAGCCCATCGCTCGTGAAAGGGGCAAACTGATGCCTCTGGTTGACCATGGTCAG